AATAAAAATAAAAAGGAAAATAGAGAAACGAGAATAGATCAAGGCTTTGAGGCTACCTAATATGCGGGATGTTGGAACTTTGTCAAGCCCTGGCGGCGGTTCCAACAGGCAAGAGGATTGGACTAACGGCATGAATGTGGGACCCAACCCCATATGCCGCAAAGAAACGCATAACATAAAGGCACATCTAAATATAGGAAAGAGTGACTGAAAAGAAGCAAGATGTCATAACACACTACACTTGGCATTTCTTGACCATTATTTTCATTTTATTGTTTTCTTTTATTTTGTTACTTTTTACAGTGGGCGCCGTCTTTAGGGCCTCGCTCTACTACACAATCCTCTACATGCATTTGGACGCCTTAAGGACCGAAAGCATTTAAATCGTAAGAGGTAATGGATGGCTTACCCCCAATTTCTAACGCAGGCCTACACCTAGACCCTAACCTAGACCTTTGACTCAAGCAGCTGCCCTCCATTGCTGTTTTGGATATAAGATCGGACCTTGACCAAGACCCTAACCCGAACATCTAACCAAAGTCCAACACCTATGTTGTTTTGACTATAACATCAAAATCAACATGTGCATCATGAAGCAATCTTGAAGATGACTTCAACATAGACATTGGGACGCAGATGCTCCATAGAAGACAATACGGACATCGATACGGATACCGGGACACTTTGTTAAAGAGGACAATGCCTACTGCAAAAGAGGACAATGCCTACTGCATGCCTAAATCCAGACCCGGGTCCAGACCTCTATCTTAGGTGGCTGCTCTCCGTTGAAGATAAAATCAATATAGATACGGAGACCTGGATGCTTTGTTAAAGAGGACAATACCTACTGCACGCCTAGACCCAAACCCTAATGCAGACCTTTGACTCAAACCCTTGCACTGCATTGTTATTTTGAATATAAGATTGAACCTTTCCAAGGACCCTAACCCGGGCTTTCTTACCTGAATCAAACACGTGTTATTTCGACTATAACATCAAAACATCAACATGTACATCTCAAGGTAATCTTGAAGATGACATGAACATAGACATTGGGACCCAGATGCTCCATTGAACACAAGATCAATATAGATACACGAACCCGAACACTTATTTATGTGGATAATGTCAAATGCAGACTTGGACCCAGATCCGAACCTCTACGTTTGAGTTCGACGGTTGCCCTGCATTTCTATGTTAAGTATAAGATCAGACCCAGATCCAAACCTCAACGTTTGAGTTCGAAGGCAATGCGCACTGTAGCCTCTACCCAGACCCTTGTTTAGACCTTTGACTCATGTTACTATCCAATATTGCTATTTTAAAAACAAGATTGGACCTTGGTCAAGACCCTAACCCGAACTTCTGACCCAAATCAACACCTATGCAATTTTAACTACAACTGCAAAATTCACATTTGCACATCAAGGCAGCCTTGAAGACGACATCAATATAGACATCGGGACTCAGATGCTCCATTGAACATAAGATCAATATAGATATACAGGCTCGGTCACTTTTTTATAGGGATAATGTCAAATGCAGGCTTGGACCTGGAGCCTAACAACGACGTTTGACTTAGAACGCTGCCTTGCATTGCTATGTTAAATATAAAATCAAACCTTGACCACGACCCTACCTGGACATCTGACCCCTATCCAACACGTATGCTATTTTGACTATAACATAAAAGTCAACATCTGCATCTAAGACAATATTGAAAATTACCTGAACTTAGACATTGGGACTCAGTTGCTTTGTTGAAGATAAGATTAACATAGGTGAAAGAAGATAAGATTAACATACATATAAGACTTTGATACTTATTAGAGAGAATGTGTACTGCTGCCTCGACCCAGGCCCTAACTCAGTCCTTTGATTCATGTCACTGCTCAGTATTGCTATTTTGAATATAAGATCGGACCTTGGCCAAGATCCTAACTCAAACTTCTGACCCAAACCCAACACCTATGCTATTTTGACTACAACAGCAAAATCGACGTCTGCATCTAGAAGCAATCTTCAAGATGACATCAGCAAAGACATCGGGACTGAGATGCTTCATTGAACATTAGATCAATATAGATATACTGACTCGTACATTTTTTTAAGTGGATAATGTTAAAAAAAAATTTGGACGCAGACCCTAACCCGATCCTTTGACTTAGACTGCTGCACTACCTGCAACTGCCACCAAGGAGTTCAAACAAAAATAAACCATATCCGGGGGTTATTCTACAACAGATGCAACTACCTGCAAGAGGATGTGTTGCTGAAGCACCTTTCCGTGCATGCAATTGTGTCAACCACTCACCTTTCTCCACGACCACACACGACAAGGTTCAACGGGCCAATTGGTGAACATGCTAGACAAACTAGCGGGTGGGGGCGCACTGATTGTACACACACGCACACATACATGCAGAAGGTCACTTCGACATACGACCCGCCTCGATCGAATGGCTGGTTCAATGTACAATGAAACATGAGATAACTAAATGAAAGAAAAAACAAGGGAGGGGAGGAAGAGAGCCGCCTTTGCCTTGTTTAGGGCACTAAGGGACACAAACAAGCAAAAGAGGCCGCCTCTATCCCACACCCTTCTCAACACCATCGTGCTCTTATGAAAGCTCTCTCCGAACACAATGCATGGGACACGGGACACAAATCCGAGTGCGAACAAGACTCCACTTCTCCGATTTTGAAGCGAGGACCGTACAATTATGGTTTTTCTTTTTTCCTTTTTTGCATCATGGTCACATGGTAATTCACCCTATCTGGCCCTCCCCATGTG